GCAAAGGTGTCTAGGCGGTGTCGACCGAACTTTTCGGNGACAGAATCGTTTATTTATTAATCATTCATTTTCTTCAATAATTATAACTTTTCATTTATTATATATATATGAAATAACAAGCAATATAAAAATTGTGCAATTAAAGTGAATATTATTCCAATGTCAATTCTATGAATAATATCTACTTATTACTTTAGCTTAAAGTTTCTATTTCTTTAAAGTGATATCTGTTTTGTGTTGGTCATAATATCGACATTCATAGGAATATCAGGAAAGAGGAAATATTACTTCTAGTATAAAATGTTTAAACAGCGATAATTCACGTTTAATATAATGTTCCTTCTCCAACGAAATGAACTATAATTCGATATTTTTACGGCTGTAATCTTCCATAAGTTACTTCATAAATTAAACTAATTATACTATATAAAAAAGTATATTCAATAATAATAAAGAAAATGATCTAAGTATTTGAAAAACATTATAAATGAATCAGTCTGAACTTTAAGCTGAAACAGTATATAATAACTGTAAATAGTAACAATAATCATAGCCATTTTGTTTTCACTAAATCACTTGATGACAACAGTTGTGTACAGTTGTGTAAATTACACGATTGTAGGTTACACATTTCGAGATTTTCTTATTATATACAGTAAAACCTGTCTATGGCGACCACCCACGGTTCCTTCAAAAAGTGGTCTATTAGACAGGTGGTCGTTTAATACAGGTAACTTATTATGTAAATTGAAAATTCCGTGCCAGAAATTTTTGCCCGTTTTGACAGGTGCCCGTCCAATGCAGGTGGTCGCCTAAGCAGTTTTCACTGCATATGGTGAAGATTTTTATTCTAAAGGTTATTTCTTACTTATATACTGTACATTAACACCATGGTTATATTTAAAGGGCTATACACCACAGGTAATAGGTTGACAGACTGATATTTTTACTCTATATCTCTTTTCTTCAAAATGTGCTATACATTTCAGACTTAAAGTCCATCTTCAGTTGGAGTAAAATGATCATGGTACTTAAAAGGTATCAGTGTGTCAGTATACGACCTGTGCTGTGATAGTCCTTTAAATATAATCACATTGTTATTGTGCATAAGTACAGTGAAACCTCACTTAATGAGCATAATTCATTCCAGAATCTTACTCGTAATGTGAAATACTTGTTAAGCGAAACAATTTTTCCCATATAAATTAATGTGAAATACAATAATGGGTTCCATGCTGAAAAAATACTCAAATCTATTATGCATAATGTTTATCTAAAGAAAATTATACAATATACATTGTTAAGGAGTGTGAATCATTTTCATCTTTTCTTCTAGTGTGGAATGAACCAACCTGGAATGCAAATTTGATTTGCAGAAAACAAAAAAAACCAAAAAAATATGTCTCATAAACAGCCAAACAATATGCCAAATTCTTGGGTTATGTAAAAGCTATAATTAAATTTTAGAAATTGATTAATTTGACTAGAGGTAGGCAGTTATGCTTCCATCTTGTATTAATTTTAATGACCAATTCCAAATTAAATTTTAGAAATGTCTAAATTAAAAATTAACTATTTATAATTATTAAATTTAATACAAGATGGAAGCATAACTGCCTACCTCTAGTCAAATTAATCAATTTCTAAAATTTAATTATAGCTTTTACATAACCCAAGAATTTGGCATATTGTTTGGCTGTTTATGAGACATATTTTTTTGGTTTTTTTTGTTTTCTGCAAATCAAATTTGCATTCCAGGTTGGTTCATTCCACACTAGAAGAAAAGATGAAAATGATTCACACTCCTTAACAATGTATATTGTATAATTTTCTTTAGATAAACATTATGCATAATAGATTTGAGTATTTTTTCGGCATGGAACCCATTATTGTATTTCACATTAATTTATATGGGAAAAATTGTTTCGCTTAACAAGTATTTCACATTACGAGTAAGATTCTGGAATGAATTATGCTCATTAAGTGAGGTTTCACTGTACTTATGCACAATAACAATGTGGTTATATTTAAAGGACTATCACAGCACAGGTCGTATACTGACACACTGATACCTTTTAAGTACCATGATCATTTTACTCCAACTGAAGATGGACTTTAAGTCTGAAATGTATAGCACATTTTGAAGAAAAGAGATATAGAGTAAAAATATCAGTCTGTCAACCTATGACCTGTAGTGTATAGCCCTTTAAATATAACCATGGTGTTAATGTACAGTATATAAGTAAGAAATAACCTTTAGAATAAAAATCTTCACCATATGCAGTGAAAACTGCTTAGGCGACCACCTGCATTGGACGGGCACCTGTCAAAACGGGCAAAAATTTCTGGCACGGAATTTTCAATTTACATAAAAAGTTATCTGTATTAAACGACCACCTGTCTAATAGACCACTTTTTGAAGGAACCGTGGGTGGTCGCCATAGACAGGTTTTACTGTATATATATATAATATCTATAAAGTTGAAACCACAATACTAGTGGATCTTAAACTTAGCACTAGTATCTTATAAAGTCAAAATCTTCCAAAGTTATTCATCCACAGCACTAGTGGATATAATGTGGTACAGGTGTGAATATAAGTTTGCACCTCTTAACTTAGGTCTCACCTAATATCAGTTCTAGTTATGCTACAGCTGTTCAGCTCTCCCATATTTGACAGCCATGAGCCACCACTGAATTTAACTAAAATGGCAAAATTATTTACATATTTTTCAGCCTATTATATTTTGTATTGTTGTTCAACATTGCCTATGTTAAGTACACTTTTTGACACACATTTATTTTGGTAGATAAATTAATTATTATTTTTGTTTTAATTAACAGTTAAATAATATTTTGATAAAATAAAATAAATCTGATACTTTCACATTCTGTTCTTCAGATAAGATAACAGTTTATTTTTATCCAGAAGAGAATCAACAGTTATACAGTCAATAGCATTATATACATTTATCAGTAAACATCTTATCCAAAAAATTTTTTAAAATAAATTAATCTATGGTTATATCTGTAGTCATCATATAGATGCTGAATTTGAAAATACAGTAGAAGTATGGCAGTACAGCACCCAATAATTCCGAATGTCGAAAACCAATAGTCCAGAATGTTGGATACTTTGAATTATTCCAAAATATCCAACAATAATCTAATATGTTAGTACAGTAAGACTCCACTTAACGCGCGGGATGCGTTCCTAGACAACAAAGTGCTAAGTGAAACAGTGTTAAACGAGGTCATTTTAACATAGAGTAAATAGGGATAAGGAAACACGCAATCAAATGTAAACAAATTTTACTTTAATTTTAAGTTATTTTTATATTAAATTAATTTGTATAATAATATATGTTAAATAAAACAAACACATGCACACAGAAATGTAAAGTTCATTTTTTGTGATGAAGGTCCTGACTTTTCTGAAATTCTTGTTCTTTTGCAATAAAGTCGTGAAGTTTCATTTGTTGCTTTATTTCACGTGCAAATTCATACAAGTTTAAGTTAAATAAGTGTTGTTATTTTTCATACTTTTTTATTTTGTGGTCTCAGACTATCTGTCTCTTGTTAGTGTTCCAATAACTGGTGAAATAAGGTATTATAATAAGACGGATGTAGTGGTTGGAATGTCCAGTAATGTATACTATGGTAATAAGGAATTTGAAGACAGTGGTGTAATGATATATCTAATGAAAAAAGTGATGTAGATGACTGTAATAATGACTATTATATGGAAAATGAACAGTGATATGGAAATAGATGAAGAATCATCAAAAGAAACAAAAGTAGAAGAGAAAAACAGTACAAACATGTTTCCTGTATAAAAAGCATATATTTTTGACAAACTCCAGATCATTTGTCTACAGTACACCAAAAAGATATGCATAGACCGTTTTGAAGAATTATAAAAGCTTTGACCATTGTACATTTGTGAATATTAAATATTCTTTCAAGCTATATTGACAAATTTTTATGTTAGTATTTAAGAATTAACACAAAATTTGTTTCATTTACTTTTGTATTCTGTGTTATTTTACACTGCATGTTATCACATATTGTGCAAATACCATGTATATTGTGTATTCTGTCATACTATGAAAAATAATTAAATATTAACTGATATTTATTAGTTACAGCTAGAAAATTATGTAAGATATTAAAAATTAAATTGATTAATGTAAAATATAACAATAATAAAAGTCCAGCAGTCTTAAAGAGTGGCTCTAATTACACTACAGAAACTCTCTCTTTTTAGTTATAAATTAACAGGAATAAATTTTACTTAATCTATATCTAATGAAAGATAGTCTATATGTATTAAAAATAAATATAGCTGAATTATTAGTGCCAAAAATAATGATTTGATAATTTTACAATGAGGATAATTTTACGACGATTCATCTTATCATTCATATGTGTACTTATATTCAAAATACAAATCATAAATTTTAAGATAAAGAATTTTAATTAACAAATATATTCTCAACTGAATAAGATAAATAATCATAAACAATCAAGCAGACATTTCCCATTATTACAACTATATCTGACTCATCTTACAGTAATATAAATCCATTGGTAATTTTATTCACTTCAATAAACTAATTTACATGGTATGAATTTATGTTATTTAATGAAAAAGTATATGTATATGTATTTTGATATATATTCTTCAAACTGAGTGAAAAGAATCATATTTGAATATACAAAGATTTCTATTTCTATTTTTTTTTTTAGTGGATTTAAACAAACATTTATCATTTATTTATGCTTAGCATATAAACATGATAATACAGTATAAAAATAAGGAGTCATGAAACACATTAGAACTACAGAAATACTTTAAATTGATTTATGTATAAATTCTTAAGATTAAATAAAAATTATTTGAGTTTTAAATATCTCTGTCTGTTAAATTTTAATTATTGTCTAACAACGTTAAGTTCAACTCCGAAGTCCAAATGCCAAGTACAGAAACTGAAACTTACCAAAGACATTGGCCACAGATTTTGAGTAATCTCTGGCTCCAACTGTAGAAAAACCGACGTAACTGCTTATAAAAACGATCCAATACGAAAATATCGCCATTAATTTAAAAAATAATAATGTTCTGACATGTAATTATTTCCTTTCATGATAACGAACAGACCAACTCCACATCGCAATATTTCATAAACAAAACTTTACCTCGAAACAGCACGTGAGTTTGACTTTAGCCAATCGCTTGCTGGTATTTTATAATTTAATATTTTTTTTACCCATCAATTTTTAATTAACTATAAATTCGTTCAAACTAAAATTTATTTGAAGGTTATTCAATGGAATACACAATAAATTTGATAAAATAATTAACATCTCCTAACCATAATATGTATCACGTGGAAAGTTATCACGTGATTTACTGATCATATTACATCACGTGTTTTATAACTTGTTCGTCGCTCTAAAGATGTCGCCCTAGTTCAAAATTCTCAACGAGCGCTTAATAATTTTAAATATAATATTTAATTTTAATGTTTTAATTAAATGTAATTACTTTATTATTTTAATTCCGGAAATAAAATTATATAAATAGTATTTTTAATCAAGGTTGCTTGTTGTTCTCTATTATATGTGTTTGGTTAGCACAATGTTGCTGTTGAGAACGTATCATACAGGAACACTTTAAGAGGAAAAAGGTTGCTTTATTGACTTGGACGGATATGCATTTCGGGCTTAATGCCCCTCTTCAGTCCTATTATTATTACATAATTATCAAATTGGTTACAGGTATCAAAATTTACAGAATTCATTTAAAAAATTAGTATACGCGTACAGTGATTTATATGATAAAATACAATTACCTGAGATAGTGACCATTAAGCTGGTATTACACATAAGATATATATACACATATTTAAACACGGGAGGAGGAATGAGCAAATAGTGCTATCAGATCAATATACATGCACCTGAGGATAGTATAATGTGTGTTAAAATAAAAANTTTTTTTTTTTTTTTTTTTTTTTTTTTTTTTTTTTTTTTTTTTTTTTTTTTTTTTTTTTTTTTTTTTTTTTTTTTTTTTTTTTTTTTTTTTTTTTTTTTTTTTTTTTTTTTTTTTTTTTTTTTTTTTTTTTTTTTTTTTTTTTTTTTTTTTTTTTTTTTTTTTTTTTTTTTTTTTTTTTTTTTTTTTTTTTTTTTTTTTTTTTTTTTTTTTTTTTTTTTTTTTTTTTTTTTTTTTTTTTTTTTTTTTTTTTTTTTTTTTTTTTTTTTTTTTTTTTTTTTTTTTTTTTTTTTTTTTTTTTTTTTTTTTTTTTTTTTTTTTTTTTTTTTTTTTTTTTTTTTTTTTTTTTTTTTTTTTTTTTTTTTTTTTTTTTTTTTTTTTTTTTTTTTTTTTTTTTTTTTTTTTTTTTTTTTTTTTTTTTTTTTTTTTTTTTTTTTTTTTTTTTTTTTTTTTTTTTTTTTTTTTTTTTTTTTTTTTTTTTTTTTTTTTTTTTTTTTTTTTTTTTTTTTTTTTTTTTTTTTTTTTTTTTTTTTTTTTTTTTTTTTTTTTTTTTTTTTTTTTTTTTTTTTTTTTTTTTTTTTTTTTTTTTTTTTTTTTTTTTTTTTTTTTTTTTTTTTTTTTTTTTTTTTTTTTTTTTTTTTTTTTTTTTTTTTTTTTTTTTTTTTTTTTTTTTTTTTTTTTTTTTTTTTTTTTTTTTTTTTTTTTTTTTTTTTTTTTTTTTTTTTTTTTTTTTTTTTTTTTTTTTTTTTTTTTTTTTTTTTTTTTTTTTTTTTTTTTTTTTTTTTTTTTTTTTTTTTTTTTTTTTTTTTTTTTTTTTTTTTTTTTTTTTTTTTTTTTTTTTTTTTTTTTTTTTTTTTTTTTTTTTTTTTTTTTTTTTTTTTTTTTTTTTTTTTTTTTTTTTTTTTTTTTTTTTTTTTTTTTTTTTTTTTTTTTTTTTTTTTTTTTTTTTTTTTTTTTTTTTTTTTTTTTTTTTTTTTTTTTTTTTTTTTTTTTTTTTTTTTTTTTTTTTTTTTTTTTTTTTTTTTTTTTTTTTTTTTTTTTTTTTTTTTTTTTTTTTTTTTTTTTTTTTTTTTTTTTTTTTTTTTTTTTTTTTTTTTTTTTTTTTTTTTTTTTTTTTTTTTTTTTTTTTTTTTTTTTTTTTTTTTTTTTTTTTTTTTTTTTTTTTTTTTTTTTTTTTTTTTTTTTTTTTTTTTTTTTTTTTTTTTTTTTTTTTTTTTTTTTTTTTTTTTTTTTTTTTTTTTTTTTTTTTTTTTTTTTTTTTTTTTTTTTTTTTTTTTTTTTTTTTTTTTTTTTTTTTTTTTTTTTTTTTTTTTTTTTTTTTTTTTTTTTTTTTTTTTTTTTTTTTTTTTTTTTTTTTTTTTTTTTTTTTTTTTTTTTTTTTTTTTTTTTTTTTTTTTTTTTTTTTTTTTTTTTTTTTTTTTTTTTTTTTTTTTTTTTTTTTTTTTTTTTTTTTTTTTTTTTTTTTTTTTTTTTTTTTTTTTTTTTTTTTTTTTTTTTTTTTTTTTTTTTTTTTTTTTTTTTTTTTTTTTTTTTTTTTTTTTTTTTTTTTTTTTTTTTTTTTTTTTTTTTTTTTTTTTTTTTTTTTTTTTTTTTTTTTTTTTTTTTTTTTTTTTTTTTTTTTTTTTTTTTTTTTTTTTTTTTTTTTTTTTTTTTTTTTTTTTTTTTTTTTTTTTTTTTTTTTTTTTTTTTTTTTTTTTTTTTTTTTTTTTTTTTTTTTTTTTTTTTTTTTTTTTTTTTTTTTTTTTTTTTTTTTTTTTTTTTTTTTTTTTTTTTTTTTTTTTTTTTTTTTTTTTTTTTTTTTTTTTTTTTTTTTTTTTTTTTTTTTTTTTTTTTTTTTTTTTTTTTTTTTTTTTTTTTTTTTTTTTTTTTTTTTTTTTTTTTTTTTTTTTTTTTTTTTTTTTTTTTTTTTTTTTTTTTTTTTTTTTTTTTTTTTTTTTTTTTTTTTTTTTTTTTTTTTTTTTTTTTTTTTTTTTTTTTTTTTTTTTTTTTTTTTTTTTTTTTTTTTTTTTTTTTTTTTTTTTTTTTTTTTTTTTTTTTTTTTTTTTTTTTTTTTTTTTTTTTTTTTTTTTTTTTTTTTTTTTTTTTTTTTTTTTTTTTTTTTTTTTTTTTTTTTTTTTTTTTTTTTTTTTTTTTTTTTTTTTTTTTTTTTTTTTTTTTTTTTTTTTTTTTTTTTTTTTTTTTTTTTTTTTTTTTTTTTTTTTTTTTTTTTTTTTTTTTTTTTTTTTTTTTTTTTTTTTTTTTTTTTTTTTTTTTTTTTTTTTTTTTTTTTTTTTTTTTTTTTTTTTTTTTTTTTTTTTTTTTTTTTTGCTTCTACGATTCACGATACATTCGCAATCGTGTATGCCACTAATGTCAAACGGGACTATTTTGTACGGGTAACTACACCACCACCGCATTTTTTATTAATTTTTTTTTCACACAACTGAATTTTGATCTTTTAAATTGAAATACCTGATTAAAGGGTGGCCGAAATTTTTCTCCGCCCCGGGCGGCTAACACCCACGGTACGCCACTGCGCATCTGAACTCGTCTATCAAAAAATTGGCGCATGGTATGCAAAAGGTTGGCCACCCCTGCTGTAACCAATTTGATAATTATGTAATAATAATAGGACTGAAGAGGGGCATTAAGCCCGAAATGCATATTCGTCCAAGTCAATAAAGCAACCTTTTTCCTCTTAAAGTGTTCCTGTATGATACGTTCTCAACAGCAACATTGTGCTAACCAAACACAGTATTTTTAATATACTCGATATACTTTAATATACTTTATAATCCTCGAAGATAACAGGAAAATGGGATTCGAACTAACTAAAAAAAACACGAAAAGTTAATAGATATTTAATTATAAAATAAAATAAAATTATAAAAATTAAAACAATATAAGCTCATAAAAATTTACGAAAATATAGTTAGAATGTATTGTACTTTAACCCCATTTGCAATACAATATGGACTGAACCTAATGCTGTATGCAACCATTTTTTTTCCTATAAGACTCTTACATTATGCAGCAATTTCATTAATTAAAATATACAGATCGAAAATTTTCATGTGAAAATTTTTGACTAATTAATTTTAATATTCCAGAATAAACAACTCTTACAAAACAGTTCTAGAACTGACCACAATCACGTGCATAGGAATGCCAATCACGAATAAGTTTACGAATTCGATTAAGTATTAATAGTTATGATTGGAAGAAAGATTTACGTTATTCTAATTTTCGAGAGTAATTTTTTTTATTATTTATATTGAATTCGAAATTGTATGTTCTGCTTGAACGAGAGATAAACTGTCAAATTTCTAGATCTTTAGTTTTTCTCTATTATTACTTTACTGTAGTAGCTTCATTTCTAATTGCGATATAGCGGTTTTTAATGGACGTTTAGATATTGCCACACAAAAAATCATTGAAGCAAACAGAAAATGCCTCTTATCTGATCTTATTATAGTTGTATAATAAGATAAATACAATACAGTATTTCGAAGAAAATAGAGATTTTAACTGTAAAATTGGTATCATAAATCAATATTTTATAAATTTCCTAGACTTTTTGAAAACAATGGAAATGATGACCACTAAATTATTGCTTAACGGCGTATTTATAGAGGTGATCAGTTCACCTGCGTAATTTAATTCTTTACAAAATCATCTATTAATGCCACTTTTCGTTAATCAAATGATAATCAAAGTGAATGCAAAATGTTAGACTCGTAGCTAATATTCTAGAACAAAATTAAGTGTTAATTCTAGAATTAAACTAAAAAGTCTCAAGTCTTAACTGCAAAAAGCACGATAAACCAAATTATAAGAGTACTAAGTGTTAATCATGTTTAGGGCTCTAGAGCTCCCATTTTCCAAAAATTTATTATGAATCTCTGAGATGGTCGGATGCCGAACGGTTAATATCAAAATACAAATTGTTATAATACGCGAAAAGTAACTTTTACTATTTTTCTAGACTTACGCAAGTTGAAAAATCTTAAATACTTCTATTTTCTTTTATAAAATTCTACTTTCCCTGGACGTACTTGTCACGTTTCCAAGTAGCAATATCTACTTTTAACAAATTCTTATGTTAAAATTTACTTTAAATTCAATGTGTAGACTTCGTATCGGATATGCAATGATTCGGCCATTGTTAAACAGTATTTTATGAACATTAAATTAATAATTTGAATTTTTTTTTATTTTTTTGGTACTTTATCTGCACTCTCTGCAAAATTGAGGCAGTTCTGTACGGAAAACTTCTGCTTTCTGGTGATGTAAATTCTTTTCTGTTTTAATTTAACATTAGAAACTGAATTTACATCATCAGATTTTTACTGCAATATGTGATATTTTGGCAAGGTATGTTTCAGGTATTCTATCAATAACACATCTTGTAGGCGAATTGCGTGTCTGTTGAAAGTTGAAGGCAACTTTTCTTTTTCGTCTTTCAAAAGTTTTGACCCGCAGTTACATCTGCATATCGATGTCGGTAGTGGACCACTCTCAATGCGGTCTGAAATAATAATAATAATAAAAAAACACTAACATAGCATTTCCAATTATTTTGATGAAATCTTTTTCAACTTCTTTCGCTCTTTGAGTACTAAGAAGATCTCTTTTTAGAAAACACATTATGGATTCGTCTAGGCTTTCAATGGAGCGGCGGAGTGGTGAGGAATGTGGCTCAACAAATTCGGATTGACAACCCCGAAAGATTCCTGGGGTTTTTTGACCAGTCCGGATTCGATTCCGGATCTCTAGAACAGTAGACTGCCACCTTAACGCTCCGCCATCTGGCTGTCATTTTAATGAGTTAGATCAGGGGTCGCCATAAACCAGATCTGGCCCCCGAGGTCAGTTCATCCGGCCGGCCGCGGCACTGTGCCACGAATGAGCTAAAATATAATTATTTATATGAAAACATCATAGATTGTAGATGAACATACTATGTAGAAAAAATAAAAATAAGAGTAAGTAAAAATGCTAAAATTGGTCCCATCTGATTTTTGCATTTGACAGTAATAAATTTTTTAGGAAAATCAGTGAAATGAAAAATTCGGCGACTTTTTGCGACATTGGATATCACAGCGCTTTTTTTGCAAGTACTTGCAATGAAGTTTCTAAAAATAGATTAAGATCTTGCTGTGTATTGGTAAATAAATATGTTGGTTTTCTTATTTTTTGTGTATTCAGTATACTATATTGAACAAAATGGTTATGCGGCCCGCGCTCTTCATTCTCTGTTATCTGGCCCGGTATGCAAAAAGTTTGGTGACCCCTGAGTTAAACAAACGTTTGGAATTTTCTATTCCTAGGCCGCAGTTTGCCGCTAAACAATGGCATCCTTTCTTCCAATATTACTATAGCAATTTCAAGAAATTCAAAATTTGCTTTGATGTAAGCTAATTCATGCGCAAAAGCTCTTTCTCTAAAACATGAAAAGGATTAAACCCTTCAACCATAAAAGGAGGCCAAATCAAACCCAACTCCAATGTAGGAGCTAAACTTCTATGAAAAAAAGCTCAAAAAAAGAAAAACGAAAAAGAAAACCTAACTCAGAGAAAATCTTTGCTCACTGCATCATTCGGGTTAACGCTTGAAATGATTCTCTTTATGTCTTCGTAATTATCAGCATAATAGCTGGCAGCATTTATCCAGATACCCCATCAGGTTATTATAGGTGTCGGGAGGCGATGGTACACTGGACAGTTGAATTATAAACTCCCGTCTTCTTGAATGTGTCTTCTCAAAAATTTTTTTACAATTAAGATTAATTTATTAATGTTTGGAAAACTCTATGTGCCAAAATTTTAAACAAAGAATAACGATATTTAAATAAATTAAACGAATGTGCCATAATTAGAATAGAAAGCTGATTGAAAAAAACGATAATAAGGCGATAAGCCAAAAAAAGAAAGATTAAAAAACAAAGGTGATAAATCTAAAAAATTTGCATTCGGATGAGATTCAAACCCGGATTCCTCAGATTTATACACTAAATTCTTGCGCAACTATTCATTGCTTCAAAATTAATTAATTTAGAATCACATTCTATATCTATAATATACAAATGACAGAATTACGATTGTTTGTTGAAGAATCTGAGGGCTTAAAATCATTGCGATAACGATTGCCATCGTTATTTAGCAACGAAACAAATCGCACATAAAATAATGAAGACCGTTTCGTAAATGTTCCGAAAGGGTAAACTAAATCATTTTATGTATTTAATTCGTATTCATTGATACGAATAAATTTTCAAGTCAGTGAGACGTAATCGTAATGGCAAATAGCGCAAAATAATCCGCCATATCGTTATAAGGGAAGCATCGGCCATTAACGATTCCCATCAATTGAACACGAATATTTCAGTAAAACAAATGTTTATTTATAAACAATTAAATTAATACACGAATTTGGAATTTAATCGGCCATTTTGTTTTATTTATTGGAAGAAAGAGCATGCGCAATAAACCAGTACTCGACGGTGAAATTTCGAAATGCACCCATAATAAAAAACAAATTTGGAACCTCGAAGTAAAATATTTTCGTATACGCCAGACGATAAGAGATTAATAATCGCGATTATTGCGGAGTAAATAAAAAGTAGAGAAAATTCCACGGGGGTGGATATCGAGATGCGAACCTGCCGGAACTTATTATAAAAATACCATTGCGAACGACCAAAGAATATAACGGGTGATAAAATAATAATAAAAATTATTGCGATTTTAATAATTTGGAATAATTATTTAACGGTTTGGCACTTTATTTTTCGGGCCAAACGATAACGTCATCTGTAGTCCGGACCGGCGTTTTGAAAGACGCGGAGTTAGCGAGAGGATTTGATTGCGTTTGGTGTGAATCAGTTTCGTCCAAATACGTTGAGAAAAAGGAAGAATCATCGTTGGTGTCGGTTAATATGGCGACGGAAGGTATACCTAAAACGAGATTACAACACTTCAAAAACAAAGGGAAAGATCCAGATGTGAGTTTTTAAACTTTCCTTTGTTCTTTGATTAGCTAAGCCTAATGCCATTACACGTTAAAGGCACGAGCGCCGTCGATGCTCCGGCTTCCACTATGACGTTATAAGGCCCTACCAGGCCTCGATTCGGTAAACAAGACGTTATATAAGCCTCTCGGCCCCTTTTCGACGCCGTAATGTTGGGCGCAACATCTACACCTGACGCTTTTCGTAAACAAACTGCCTAATCGATCACTTCCAACTTCTTTACGTTATTTGCTTCCAGTTCTTATTACCGACGTCTCGATCGCCATTCTTACACCTTTTATCAATTAATGGACGTCGCTGCCTCCGTCCCATTACCTTTTGTAATTGTATGTATTGGTGTCTTGTGCCTTCTTCGTGCTGGCTTGATGGGGATGGTGCTCGAGTAGACGTTGCCACGACAGATCCAGCCATTCGGATTCGTGTATAGAGGGTGAGATGTGAACTTTGAATGAGGCATTTGCTGCCTTCCGTGATTGTGAACCGGCAGAAAAGTCGATGGAACCGTCCTGTACCGGTATGCGTGACCTGTGGCCGGATGATGGCTTTTTACCGCCCGCCGGTATGCTGCCGACTCTCTGTGGTCTACGTGGGACGAACCCGCTTAGAGCTTTGGGTTCCTCCGACTTGGCTTTTTTTGCTCTCTGGGTGTGGTTTATGCTCCGGCGAGATTCTGAGGTGTAATTGGACCGGTTCGTGTGAAAAGAAACTAAACTAAGTTTACTGGCCGGTTAAATGGAGCCTGTAGAGTTTAATCTGTGCTAACGATGGCCAATTCGGTGTACTGACTGTGATGCTCGAGTCCGACTCCATTCTAACCGAGTTGTTGTTCCGTGGTTGAAATTCTAGATTGATCGTATGTAATTCGATTGAAACTCGGATATCTCCGTTTAGTCGATTTTTTACGGATTGTAAGCTTCGTGTTGCTATCCTTCTAACGATGTAAATTTGTATTGCCATCTGTAATGCTAAAAGTTGAACTGCATTCGATACGGGAATAAATTGCAATTAATGGTGCTTGAAATTCTGTAACGATTCTGTTCAAATCGAGAAAAAACCACACGTTTGAGTACTTTTCGGTCCCGTCTTTCTTTTGACGGGTGCTTTTGGCTTCTTTGATGAGCCTGCTTGGGGTCTGTTCGAGATTTTAAATTTTGTTGTTGTAAATTGGTATGTAGGCTCGAGCAATGACGTATCTTCTGAGATTTTTAAGTATTGAAAATGATGTAATGGCCGGGCTTTCTTTGACCGTGTACGATATAACTTCTGGAATATGAGATAATTTATGCTGTGCCTTCGTGTTTGTAAAGTACTATTTGTATGACATTATGTATTTTGGGCCTTAGTTGAAAGTTCTTGTTTGGATTATTATAAAATGATCTCCAGGCATCAAAATTTTGCATTCTTTTTTGGCTTATTCACACCCCTTTATAAATAATTCTGTTCTTTAAAAATTTATTTCTCTGGCTGTTAACACGACACTTGTTAATTTATTTGACACTTTTATATCAATTTCATGTCAATTTTAAACTTGTTTGTTTTAAAACTGAAGTGATGTCAAATTGATGATAAAGTATATTCTTTCTGGCTGAATCAAACATGGCTACAGTTTCAATCTTTTTAGCAGTCAGACTTGTAGGAGAGTGTTAGGTAAAGATACTTCATTCAGGTATAAGTAAATTATTCCGATTGCCAATTGTGTAATTTTTTTATCTATTTGTGTGCTGGTGCTGGATCAAAATGATTCAAAATTGTTTCTAAATGAATTTAGTGTCTTAAATTTAGCAGCTTCTTTCAATACACGGAGAAAATTTATTACACTGTTTACTTTTAGACGAGGAATTTAATTATCAAAACAATAATACTGTAATTTTGGGACATTATAATAAGTAGATGTTTTTATTAATTATATTTAATTAAAGTTCTATGTATAGTGTATGTAATTCTTATGATTGTAATATAAACTTTTTACCATGCTGTTCATGATGAATATATATTCATTTTCTGATTTACAATATATTTGATATGTTGAACAATGTTTTATACTTTTATTCAAGCTTGATTGATTGTCTCTATTCTTAGATTGAATATATTTTTAGCTGAAGAATTGGCATTTTGATGGCTATATATACCAACAGTTTTAAATTTGTGTTCATTAAATGATTCATCTTGACTCCTCGAATCTTACCAATGCAAAAAAGTATAATTTAAAATCTGTTTAATGGTATTTGTTATTTGAGTGTACCTTTTATAAAATTACAGAAATTAACTAAAAAGTCCAGTTACTAATATGCTGTCATGATTAATTCATTGACGATAACATATTTTTATTTTCTGGTCTTTAATTGAAGATTTTATTTAAGTGAGAGGCATTTCTGAGGAAACTTTAATACTTATAATAGCAATAAATTAATTTATCTTTCTACTTTTATAAAATTATGAGGAATAAGTAAACTATTTCTGTCATCTGGTATGTAGTAATCTCTAATTAATTCTGATACTGGATATGTCCTCTTAGAGATAATAGAAGTTTTAATTTTATATCTAATACTACAGTATTAAGTCTTGAAGTAACTCTTTATATATAATTGCTTAAAATAATTTTTATTGCCTAATATTTTAAAATTATTTTTAGTTTATATCAAAGGTTAATTATAAAAATATTACTGTACAATATTCACGAATAGGCCTACTTAATAATCCTGAAATGCCATTGAAATATTTTGTAACTAAAAACTTTCTCTTTTATACTCTGTGAGAGAGAAAGCAATTATACTTAATCAAAGCATCTTTAACAATAGAAGTTGAAGGAACACAAATGTTTTTGACCCGGTTAATGGGGCATCTTCAGATGTATCAGAGACTCATCAGCCTATGTTTAATACATGTGAAGATGCCCTGTTAACTGGGTCAAAAATCTTAGTGTTCCATCAACTTCATCCACTGTTAGAGATGCTTTGATTAATCAAGCAGATTAACCTTAATGGCTAGTTCATTCTTATTAACAACAAACATGTTATATTATAGTTTTGTGATAAATAGTAGTAAAAGTTATTGTGTTATTAATATTTAATGAAATTGAACTTTATATATTTATATTGAAAGCAAGATTATAAAATGTATCATCATTAGTCATAATAAACAAAACATAGACTAGAATAGTGTTTCCCAAAGTTTTATAGTTGGTGAATGGTAGTTTTTAGTAATTTATTTTGCAGCTCACCTTGAATATATATAAATATATTCTGCATTTATGATAATTTCTTTTGTAACTAGGATTTTACCAAGTTCATGATTGTTATATAATAGTACATATTTGACTTCTATAATAATAGATTGGAATGTTTTCAAGTAATGTCATTTTGTATTCTAATATTTAGATACAAAAAATGCAATTAGCATTTTTTGTTTATTATTTTCCACATGCTTTTACTGGATTGTGGACTGCATTTTTGAATAATGCTAGACTAAAGGATAAAAGTTTTTTTTATTAGTCTTGTTTATGGAGTTATTTACATCTAATTTCAAACTCTGGTATTTTATCATTTTTTTTATTACTTTTCCCTCAATTAATACATATTTTTAATAATTCATAATATATTCATAATAAGCTTTGGTCTTCTTGGTTTTGTTCACTTAAATCAAAGCTGTGGTTTTGGTTCACAAAATTTTTAAGGTTTTTTCAATTTTAAATCATACTTTCTTAAAGCTTAATATGCATTATTGATGTTAAACCTGTGAAAATGACGTATGAACAATTTTCATCGTCGTCATAGATATCATTAGGCTACTTTTTAGACTTAAATTTCTATTTAAATGTAAATTTATAGTTTACATTTATTGAAGTTGGAGTCAGTACATAATTTTTAGTGTATTCAACTCCACAGCTCTGCTTTAGATCCAGTCACTCTAGTTCTACCTCCTTTAACATTCATTTTTTTTATTCAGATTTTTTTCAGTTTAGTAATCCTGTTATTTCTAATGGATTGCTTGTGTTCCTTCAGTCATTCTTTTTTTTCTAATAATTATTTTCTATCCTTGCTTTAGTTTTTGTATTTGTTTATCAGTATAATGTAATATGCTATTCAGTTTTTCAGATCTGGATTTCAATGCTTTTTTCCAAAGTGTTAATTTAATATCATTTAAAACTTTAAATTCAGCTTATGTGTTTTTTTTTCTTTTTTGCCTCTTAAGCCGATTATTAGAATTTAATTCTTTCCTAAAAAAATTTCTTACTCTCTTTCCGTCATGGTATTATCTCTACATTAGTAAAAAATATTTTTCAAGATCTTTTCTGTGTTCTATAGCGGTTTGTTTACTTTTTATCCAAAAATGTTGTAAATAGAGATCTAACTAAACTAGAAACTTGATTAGTGTAATATTTACAAATTTACACTAAATGATTTTTAGAATAAATATTCCCAAGTTATTCTCTGTTAAATATTTGTATATATTCTGCCTCTTTGTATAAGTAGCATTTTTTTTTTAAATTTTAACCTGTATATCTTAAGCTGGCTCCACAGATTAAGTATTTGCTAATTTCCAAATAATATGGTTTAGCACAGTTTACTGACAAGAAGTTGGAGATGGCAAATACTGAATATTTAGTCAGGAGTAAATCATACACTACTTAGTATTGGCCAAATGTTTGCTCTGCATTTAGCAAATACCAAATGTGTGGAGTTGTCTTCATTGCCATATATAATTATCTGCATATTTGATCTAAAGTACCAGGTATTTCTGAATTGGTAGCTATGAATCTTCTGATGGGTCACTCAATTCATAAATTAAAAAATTACTAAAGACAATTTTGAGTCAGTGGACAAATTTATTTTTATTACAGCAAATATAGTAGTACAGTAGAACCTCGAAAACTCGGCCTAATGTGGACCGAAGGGTGGCCGAGTTTGTGAAAATGCCGGGTTATCGGGAATGGGGTTAAAAAAATAAGTACGAGTGTTTCCTCAGAAAATACT